CAGCTCCAGTTGTGAGGCTGAGATCTACGCCACAGCCATGGCTGTACAGGAGTTACGCTGGCTCACCTACCTGCTGACTGACCTTGGAGAGCGGCCCAGTTCTCCTCCAGTGCTGTACGTCGACAACAAGGCTGCCATTGCCTTGTGTCAAGAGCACAGACTGGAGCACAGAACGAAGCACATCGCTCTCCGTTACTTCCTTGCTCGTGAGCTTCAGCAGCGTGGTCAGCTTCGTCTGCGCTACGTGGCCTCTCAGGCCAACACCGCTGATGTTTTCACCAAGGCGCTTCAGCCTAGTGATCATCAGCGCTTCTGTACTTTGTTGGGGCTAGTGCCCACTTTGTCTCACTTGTTGTAGGCTTTGCCTGTACTGTGATCTCTATATATACTTGTGCCTGTTTGCTGTACTAGGTTGAGATCACCCATGCTGTCTGTACTACTTATATATATACCTCTGCATGTGAACTGGCCTTGTGGCCCTTTGCTTGTGCTCGGATTGTGTGGTGACGTTGTGATCCACCCTGAGCTTGCTTGCCTTTCTTGACTGGTCTTGTGACCCTTTGTTCTCCCCCACTTTGCCTATGGGGGTGTGTCAAACATTATATGTGCTGTTATTGTGTAGGCTATAGTGGGTTAGCCTTTAGGGGGTACACAAATTTAGGGTTTGCTATTTGTACTCCAAATCTCATAGTGAAATCACTTCTCTCATTCTAACAAGTGGTAACGGTGCTGACTGTGGTGCAATAGTGATATACGCGTTGAGCAGGGATGCGAAGTAAGGAAAAGGATTTTTCCTTACACTACCCCCCCCCCCTAAGGAGGTCCTCCTTACGAGAGTGCGTGTACATCCTTGAAATTTTGGCTGCACAGATACTCGGTGAGGACGGGGTGGTTTTCGATCCTGTCCAGGGGAACCCAATTGTCTTTGGTGGGTGTACGGTCCTTCCAGCGGAGTAAGAATTCTATCCTTCGGGCTCCTCGAGGGTCGCGAACTCTGTGATTCAAGATTTTCTCGGGGGTGATGATTGGTTCAGTTGGTGGTCTTGTCATGCTGGCTGGGCGATTGCGTGGCAGTTGGCTCGTGGACGGGACGTAAGGGCGAAGTAGGCTGACGTGGAATGAGGGGCTGACGTACCAGTCAGCAGGGAGGAGGAGGTGGGCGGTGAAGGGTGTAAGCATGTGGCTTATGCGGAATGGCCCGCAGTATCAGGGGCGGAGTTTCGGGGTGATGGGCAGTCGGAGGTTCTGAGTGTCAAGTAAAACTAAGTCGTCGGGCTGGTAAGTGATAGGTCTGCGGTGGCTGTCGGCGTTGCGTTTAGCGATGATGTTCGATTTTTTTATTGGGTCTACTGCCCGGGTCCGTGCTGCTTGTAATATTTTGGCGAGTTATTGTGCTCGTGGTACTGGGTTGTTGGGATTCAAGGTCATGGGTGCTGTCGTGTCTTGTCCGTAGTAAAGGTAAAAATGGTGACTGTTGGGTCGTGGCGGATGGCGAGTTGTTGTACGCGAATTCGATTAGTGGCAGTTGCTGTTCCCACGTGGTGGGGTCATCACACGTGGCCCTGATGAGCTGTTCCATGGTCTGATTTGTCAGTTCTGTCTGTCCGTTGGTTTTGGGGTGGTATGATGAACTGAACTGCAGTCGCGTGCCGAACTGCTGCGACAGGTTCCGCCAGAAGTTGCTGGTAAATTTTTTGTCGCGGTCGCTGATGATCGCGACGGGTAACCCGTGCAGTCGAACGACGGTGGAGATGAAGAGGCGTGCTGTTTCTTCGGCTGTGATCGATTTTTTGCAGGCTGCGAAATGTGCCATTTTCGTGAGTCGATCGACGACGACCAGGATCGCGTCGTTCCCACTCGCCCCGGCTGGTAACCCCGTGACGAAGTCCATCGTCACCTGCTGCCAAGCACGCTCTGGGGGTGGTATCGGCTGTAATTGTCCCGCCGGCCGCTGTCGTGATGATTTCATGAGCTGACTAGTGGGACACGATGCCACGTGTCGTTGTACGTCGGTCAACATTTCGGGCCAGTAATAATACCGCTGCAGCTTCTGCCGTGTTTTTTCGTGCGGAGGTGCATAATGAGGTCAGCGACAGTGGGAAAGGCAGTAAGGTCAGGGAAGAGGTATGGTAGCATGAGGCGGCTCAGTGCAGCAGTGGCAGGGGAAGAGTAGCGTGCAACTACAGCGTCGTACAAGGTCTGAGCACTCTTGTACTGGCTAAAGTGTGCACGCTCAGTGGTCGGTAAGTGGCGGCGCATAGCAAGGCGAGCAGCAGCATCACGTGTGGCCCACTGTGAGCGAACAGTGGCGTCAGCATCAGCAGCAGGGGCAGGGGAGGCACCAGAAGTGAGGTCAAACAGGGAGAGGCCGTCTGCCCTATCGCACTGCAGGAAAAGCTGCAGATCATCTACCCAGACCTCAAAGTCCACTGCCCGAACCTCAGCGTCAAAGGTGAGAACGCTAGGGGAAGCCACAACAGCAGTAGGCAGGGCAGTGCAGTGGCAGAGACTGTGCTCTTACGAGGTAGGTGGAGCGATCGGGCTGCTCGGCGGCTCGGCTGTCGGGCGGCTCGGCTGTAGGGCGGCTCGGCTGCTGGGCGGCTCGGCTGCACGTTGCTGGGCGGCTCGGCTGTCGGGCGGCTCGGCTGCTGGGCGGCTCGGCTGCCGGGAGGCTCGGTTGCTGGGCGGCTCGGGCGGTCGGGCGGCTCGGGCGGTTGGGTGGATCAGCTGGCCGGCGGTTCGGCTGCTCGGCGCTGTGGGCGCTGGGAGGCGGGGTCGCAGGTGGTGGCGAGGTCGAAGGTGGCGGCGGGCCGCAAGGGTGGGCGGGGCTGCGGTGGCGACGGGGCCAAAGTGGGGCCTAAGAGGGGCCGAAGCGGGGCCGATGGGGCCGTAGCGGGGCCGCGATGGGGCCGTAGCGGGGCCGTAGCAGGGCCGCAGCGGGGCCTAGGCGGGGCCGCGACGGGGCCGACGGGGCCGTAGTGGTGCCGTAGCGGGGCCGTAGCGGGGCCGCAGCGGGGCCTAAGCGGGGCTGACGGGGCCGAAGCGGGGCCAAAGCGGGGCCGTGACGGGGCCGACGGGGCCTAAGCGGGGCCGACGGGGCCGTAGAGGGGCCGTAGCGGGGCCGTAGCGAGGCCGACGGGGCCGACGGGGTCGACGGGGCCGTAGCGGGGCCGTAGCGGGGTCTAAGAGGGGCTGACGGGGCCGTAGCGGGGCCGACGGGGCCTAAGCGGGGCCGTAGCGGGGCCTAAGCGGGGCCTAAGCGGGGCCGTAGTGGGGCCGTCGGGGCCTAAGCGGGGCCGTAGCGGGGCCGTCGCGGCCTAAGCGAGGCTGTAGAGGGCGGCTCGAGGGGCAGTAAGGGCGGCCAACAGGGGCCACTAAGGCGGCTCGAGGCGCTACTCGGGTTAGGAGCTAAGTGCGCTCCGGGAAGGGAAGGAAAAAAATAGTTCGTGGTGGGCCCTAGGCAGTATTCCCACTCGGGAACCTGCTCGATACCATGACGAGAAGTGAGAATGGAATGAATGAACTATGAAACAGTTGGGTACAAGTACTAACCCTAATTGGGTTGTACCCCTTGTGGGCTACCCCACTACAGCCTACACAAATGTATAAGCTATAATGTTCTGATAAAATCAACACCCCCATGCCCTGCACAACGCAAAAACAGAGAAGTCAACACTCCCATGCCCTGCACAAAGCAAAACCAGAGAAGTCAACACCCCCATGCCCTGCACAAAGCAAAAACAGAGAAGTAAACACCCCCATGCCCTGCACAAAGCAAAAACAAAGAAGTCAACACCCTCATGCTCTGCACAAAGCAAAAAAAGAGAAATCAACACCCCCATGCCCTGCACAAAGCAAAAACAGAGAAGTCAACACTCCCATATCAGAGGTCCACTGGTGATCCCCGATTGATCCTAGGGAAGGGTTACAGGCATGTTGGCCTGGGGGGCTATGGGCGCACTGACCCCCTACTTAACAAGCATTTAATCCCAATGGTCTAGTGGTTGGGATTCTGACATGGTATCAGAGCGAAGGTCTCGGGTTCGAATCCCAGTGTGTGCACTTCGGGCATCCCTGTGCGGGGGGGTGTCAGAGGTCCACTGGTGATCCCCGATTGATCCTAGGGAAGGGTTACAGGCATGTTGGCCTAGGGGGTTATGGGCGCACTGACCCGCTACTTAACAAGCCCTTTTATCCCAATGGTCTAGTGGTTGGGATTATGACATCCCATGCCCTGCACAAAGCAAAACCAGAGAAGTGACACCCCCATGCCCTGCACAAAGCAAAAACAGAGAAGTAAACACCCCCATGCCCTGCACAAAGCAAAAACAAAGAAGTCAACACCCTCATGCCGTGCACAAAGCAAAAACAGAGAAATCAACACCCCCATGCCCTGCACAAAGCAAAAACAGAGAAGTCAACACTCCCATGCCCTGCACAAAGCAAAACCAGAGAAGTCGACACCCCCATGCACTGCACAAAGCAAAAACAGAGAAGTAAACACCCCCATGCCCTGCACAAAGCAAAACCAGAGAAGTGACACCCCCATGCCCTGCACAAAGCAAAACCAGAGAAGTCAACACCCCCGTGCCGTGCACAAAGCGAAAACAGAGAAGTAAACACCCCCATGCCCTGCACAAAGCAATAACAGAGAAGTCAACACCCCCATGCCCTGCACAAAGAAAAAACAGAGAAGTCAACACCCCCATGCCCTGCACAAAGCGAAATCAGAGAAGTCAACACCCCCATGCCCTGCACAAAGCAAAAACAAAGTCAACACACACACGCCCTGCACAAGAAAGCAAGAACAGAGAAAGCAACAGCACACCTTGCACAAAAAGGCCAAAGGCCTGTTGCCAGCGGCCTAGAAGAACGTCCGAGGCGCCAGCACCTTAGAAGCCGGCACTCTAAGCGCTAGTGCAGAAAGCGACACTTATTTGTATAAGTAGCCCCAGTTGCCCAAGCACCAGCGTAATAGATGCTAGTGCCTACGCCCCAGCATGCTCACGCGCTCTCTCACGCGCTCTCTCACGTGCTCTCTCACGCGCTCTCTCACGCGCTCTCTCACGCGCTCTCTCACGCACTCTCTCAAGCGCTCTCTCACGCGCTCTCTCACGCGCACTCACTCGCACTCTCACGGGCACTCTCATGTGCACTCTCACGCACTCTCTCACACGCTCTCTCATGCGCTCTCTCACGCACACTCTCAGCTGCACTCTCACGCGCACTCTCTGTCTCTCTCTCTCTCTCTCTCTCTCTCTCTCTCTCACGGGCTCTCTCCCGCGTTCTCTCTTGCGCACTCTCACGCGATCTCTCATACGCACCCTCGTACGCTCACGCGCACTTTCGCGCACTCTCACACGGTCTCGCATGCGCACACTCACGCACACTCTGATGCGCACTCTCACACGCACTCTCATGCGCACTCTCACGCGCACTCTCACGCGCACTCTCACGCGCACTCTCACGCGCACTCTCATGCGCACTCTCACGCGCACTCTCACGCACTCTCTCACGCGCACTCATGCGCACTCACGCACACTCTCACGCACACTCTCACGCGCTCTCTCACGTGCACTCTCACGCGCACTCTCACGCGCACTCTCACGCGCACTTTCGCGCGCACTCTCACGCGCTCTCCCACGCGCACTCTCACGCGCCCTCTCACGCGCTCTCTCACGCGCTCTCCCTTGCTCTCTCTCGCACACTCTCACACGCTCTCTCACGCGCTCTTTCACGCGCACTCTCACGTGCATTCGCACACGCACTCTCTCGTGCACTCTCACGTGCACACACACACACACTCGCTCTCTCTCTATCTCTCTCTCTCTCTCTCTCTCTCTCTCTCTCTCTCTCTCTCTCTCTCTCTCTCTCTCTCTCTCTCTCTCTCACCCGCTCTCTCGCGCGCTCTTTCTGACGCATTCTCACGCGCACTCTCACGCTCTCTCATGCGCTCTCTCACGCTCTCTCTCATACGCACCCTCATGCGCTCTCTCAAGTGCACTCTCAAATGCACTCTCATGCTCTCTCACGCGCTCTCTAACGCGCTCTCTCATACGCACCCTCACGCGCTCCCTCACGCGCTCTCTCACGCGACATCTCACGCGCTCTCTTACGCGCTCCCTCATGCGCTCTCTCACGTGCTCTCTCACACGCTCTCTCATGCGCTCTCTCACGCGCTCTCTCACGCGCTCTCTCATGCGCTCTCTCACGCGCTCTCTCATGCGCTCTCTCATGCGCTCTCTCACGCGCTCTCTCACGCGCTCTTTCACGCGCTCTCTTACACGCACTCTCAGGCACACTCTCACACGCTCTCTCTTGCGCACTCTCACGCGCATTCTCTCTCTCACGCGCTCTCTCACGCGCTCTCTCACGCGCTCTCTCACACGTACTCTCATGCGCACCCTCACGCGCTCTCCCACGCGCTCTGATAACCACCGTGAAGGAAATTTCAGAGGGGGGAAAGAAGATGGAAGGACCGGGAACGCACCTGATAACCACCGTACCTCGGAACCCGCGCTGGCGCACCAACTCGCGGTTGTGCTCGTGAACCAACTAACCGGAGGCGACGACGGGGAGGAGGGAGAGGCGACGGCGGGGAGGAGGGAGAGGCGACGGCGAGGAGGAGGGAGAGGCGACGGCGGGGAGGAGGGAGAGGCGACAGCGGGGAGGAGGGAGAGGCAACGGCGGGGAGGATGGAGAGGCGACGGCGGGGAGGAGGGAGAGGCGACGGCGGGGAGGAGGGAGAGGCGACGGCGGGATGGAGGGAGAGGCGACAGCGGGGAGGAGGGAGAGGCGACGGCGGGGAGGAGGGAGAGGCGACGGCGGGGAGGAGGGAGAGGCGACGGCGGGGGAGGAGGGAGAGGCGACGGCGGGGGAGGAGGGAGAGGCGACGGCGGGGCGGAGGGATAGGCGACGGCGGGGGAGGAGGGGGAGGCGACGGCGGGGCGGAGGGATAGGCGACGGCGGGGCGGAGGGAGAGGCGACGGTGGGGAGGAGGGAGAGGCGACGGCGGGGGAGGAGGGAGAGGCGACGACGGGGCGGAGGGAGAGGCGACGGCGGTGCGGAGGGAGAGGCGATAGCGGGGAGGAGGGAGAGGCGACGGCGGGGAGGAGGGAGAGGCGACGGCGGGATGGAGGGAGAGGCGATGGCAGGGAGGAGGGAGAGGCGACGGCGGGATGGACGTCACAAAAAAAATCGGCGGAAATCTTACCTCATAAAATCCTAAAGCACTGCTTGAAGTATGTCCCAGGCACCAATGTTTGAGGTCTATCTTTGGGAATCCTCCACCGCGCAGGGATTGTTTGAGGATTCGTTTTGAGGTTTGTAAGTGCAAACCTCGTCAGGCTCGGCAAGGATTGCGCCAACATAGGGCCAACAATGCTCATACTCATTACAAGATTCGGAGAAATTCATTCAAGAGGTGCTTTGTAACGAAACAAAAAGGTTACCACAGTACACCTGACTCATCGAAAATTAGAACGACTTGTTATACAAGCATTACATAAAATATTTAGAGCTTCAGTTATACGCACTTTAGTGAGTGAAATTGTCAGTTTAGGTATAAAGCCACAAAATTAATACCTTCAGCTGTATTCCAGCTGATGTTCTGGAATGCCTTACATGTGAACCACTACTGCATTTGAGCAGCGTTTAGTGCACTGAACAACGAACAAGATAAAACAATATATCCGCAATTGCAGCATGCATTACTACCACTTAATTAGATGACAAACGGGACCTGCAATATGCTGGCAACACACGCAACGAAGCTAGACAGCTCAGAACCACCGTTAGTCAGCATAGGCAACGAGCACCAAAAGAGAACACCGTTAGTCAGCATAGGCAACTTGCCAGACGTTGATGTGACCAAAACCACGAGATGTTAATAACTTCGACAAACATGGTAGAAAGGATAGGGGGATCGTAGAATGTTCCTGCACCCGGTGACGCACGTGCCTAACCTAGAAATACACATGGCGCAGACAAGATGCATATTAGAGATTGCGTCGTTGGCCCAAAAAAATGTCTCACCTGATCTCACGCAACTCGTGAAGCGAGTAGACGTATTTGCCTATAGATTGTCGATTGTTTCTTCACCCTGCACAAAACTTATATATCCTAGAAATATAGAAGGCACAGACGTGTCGGAACATATAGCTTTTGCATATTATGTAGGCTATAGTGGGGTAGCTCATAAGGGGTACAACCCAAATAGGGTTAGTACTTGTACTCACTTCATTCATAGTTCATTCATTCTTGCTCAACTTTTCTCATGGTATCGAGCAGGTTCCCCTGTGGGAACTGTGCCTAGGGCCCACCACTTCGAATTTTTTTTTTCCTGCCCGAAGCGCGCTCATCCCGAGTCGCGCCTCGGGCTATTACCTTGACGAGCCGCCCTAGCGGCCCTCCCTCCCCTAGCGGCCCCGCCGCCCTACTGTCGCGGCCCCGCCGCCCTAGTGTCGCGGCCCCGCCGCCCTGCTTTAGCGGCCCCGCCGCCCTACTGTCGCGGCCCCGTCGCCCTACTGTCACGGCACCGCCGCCCTGCTTTAGCGGCCCCGCCGCCCTACTCTACCAGCCCCGCCGCCCTACTCTCGCGGCCCCGCCGCCCGTCTGCTATCGCGGCCCCGCCGCCCTACTATCGCGGCCCCGCCGCCCTACTGTCGCGGCCCCGCCGCCCTGCTTTAGCGGCCCCGCCGCCCTAGTGTCGCGGCCAAGCCGCCCCAACTGTCGCGGCCCCGCCGCCCTGCTTTAGCGGCCCCGCCGCCCTACTTTCGCGGCCTCGCCGCCCTACTGTCGCGGCCCCGCCGCCCAACTTCGCGGCCCCACCGCCCTACTCTACCGGCCCCGCCGCCCTACACCTGCGGCCCCGTCGCCCTACTTCAACGAGCCCCGCCGCCCGTCTGCTCCGGCCCCGCCGCCCGAGCCGCCGACCGCCGCACCGTCCTGCAGCTGCACGCCCGAGCCGCCGACCGCCGCGCCGCCCTGCAGTAGCACCACCGAGCCGCCCTGTACTAGAGGAGCCGAGCCGCCCTGGCGCCGAGCCGCGCCGCAGCCGAGCCGCCCGGCCGCCCACCAGCCGAGCAGCTGTTCAGCCGCGCCGCCAAGCAGCCGAGCCGCCTTCGCAGCCGAGCCGCCGGGCCGCCCTACAGCCGAGCTGCCCTAGCAGCCCTGTCCGGTGAGCACAGCCCCTCTAACACTGCGTGCCCTTCCCCTACTGCTTGCACTGCTAGTCTACCGTTGTCATGGCTACCCCTAGTGTCCTCGCTTTTGACGCTGGGGGTCGAGCCATTGACTTTGAGGTCTGGGTGGACGACCTGCAGCTTTTCTTACAGTGCGATAGGGCGGACGGTCTTTCTCTCTTTGACCTCACCTCTGGCGCCTCTCCTGCCCCTGCTGCTTATGCTGACCCCACTGTTCGCTCTCAGTGGGCCACCCGCGATGCTGCTGCACGTCTTGCTGTGCGTCGCCACCTGCCTACCACTGAGCGCGCGCACTTTAGTCAGTACAAGAGTGCTCAGACCTTGTACGACGCTGTAGTTGCGCGCTACTCTTCCCCTGCCACTGCTGCACTGAGCCGCCTCATGCTACCGTACCTCTTCCCTGACCTTGCTGCCTTTCCCACAGTCGCTGACCTCATTACGCACCTTCGCACTAGTGACACTCGCGACCGCGTTGCGCTTCCTGCTGAGTTCTGTGCCAAGAACCCCCCCCCCCCCCCCATGTATATCACCCTCTACTACATAGTCACCCGGCTCCCTGACTCCCTTCGCTTAGTTTGGGACCACTTCCTCTCAGTTTGCCCCACCACACTCACCGTTGACCTCCTCGAGGAGCACCTCCTAGTAGCAGAGAAGAGCATAATCGCTGTAGGAGCCTCTCGTGGTGACCCTCGCACCACCGTCTTTGAGGGGTGTTCCCCTTCCCCCCTCTTGCCCTTTGTTGCTTCTGCTGCTGCGGCCGACCTTGTTGGTTTCGAGTCGGTCGACGCTGCGTCTACCCCTAGCGGGAGACGCCGCTCTAGCAAGGGCAAGGGGGGCAAGGGCGCGGGTGGGACTGGTGGGGGCGGTGGAGGTGGCAGTGGAGGCAGCGGAGGGAGTGGGGGTGGCGGTGGGAGTGGTGGCGGAGGTGGTGGTGGTGGTGGCGGCGGCGGAGGCGGAGGCGGCGGCGGCAGTAGCGGTGGGAGTGGAGGCGGCAGTGGTGGCGGAGGTGGAGGCGGCAGTGGCGGAGGAGGTGGAGCTGGTAGGGGTGGTGCCTCGCAGCGGAGCGGCTCTGGTGGTGGTCAGCGCCAGCAGCAGCAGCAGCAGCGTTCCCGGGACATCCCCCCTCCTCAGCAGCTCCGTGACTGGTACACGCAGCGTCAACGTGGTGGGGGTTTTGGTCCGTGCACCTACGTCCTTCGCTCCGGCGACCGCGCGGGTGAGCAGTGTGGGGGTGCCCACCCCACCCAGCGCTGCTTTGGCCGCCTGACCGACGCTTGGCGTCAGCAGTTCCCTGAGGCTAGTGAGGTCCCCCGCTGGGGAGAGCTGTCTAGAGCTGGTGTAGCTATTTTTGATCTTGACTTTGATGCTTATCCTTGCTGCCATGTATGCTGTGACTATTAGTAATGAGGGTGACTGTTACCGGTGTTTCCCGCCTGACCCGGGCATTGGTACTGCTGCGCTAGGTGCTAGTGAGGCTGCTGCTCTAGGTGCCAGCGCGTCTGCGCCCTCGGGTACTGGTGAGGCTGCGCTCTCAGGTACCGCGTCGGCTTCGGCCTCCCTCACCTTCACACTTGAATCAGGGGCTTCTCGCTCCTTCTTTCGAGACCGCACCACACTCACGCCGCTTGGTCGGCCGGTTGCAGTCTCCCTGGCAGAAACCTCTGGGGGTCCTGTCCTCTCTCACTTCTCCACGGTCCTTCCGTGTCCGGCTGCCCCCTCTGGCACCTTGTCTGGTCCTTACCTCCCCTCGTTCTCGACGAACTTGGTGAGTGGTGCTGACCTGCAGGATGCGGGGGTTCACCAGTTTACTCCTGCGAGTCAGCGGGTGACCCACTGCTCGGACGCCCGCACAGGCCGACACCTGGCCACGTTTTCGCGTCGGCCGGGGTCGAGCCTCTACACCCTGACCACTGAGTCTCCTCCTGTCCCTGCGTTTGGCCAGGTAGCTGCGTCAGGTCAGGTGTTTGCTGCTGCGTCCAGGTTTGGTCCTGAGTCTGCCCCCTGCTCGTGTCGCCTCCTGTCTCACGAGACTCTCCTGTGGCACCACCGTCTTGGCCACCCCTCCCTGCCTCGTCTTCGGGGCATGGCTTCCTGTGTCCTTGTCTCTGGTCTTCCCCAGTCCCTCCCTCCCCTTCCTTCGGGGCCTGGTCCTTCCTGTGTCCCCTGTGTTGAGGGGCGCCTCCGGGCTGCCCCTCACTCCTCTCAGTTTCCCCAGACAGAGGCTCCAC